AAGAGAGAGGACGAGGCTTTCAAACGGTCCTATAATCGAATTTCCGTGCTTCCGTCATCGATGTTACCGGGGCAAGCAAGGTAGGCGATGTAGGAGACAGTTTGCAAAGGCCCTCAGAGCAAAACTCGCCTTCGTTGCCCTGACTGAATTAGGCCTCGGTCCCGGCTAAATGCTGGACTTTTTATTTCGTCGCTTCCTTCTGCTCGAGCACCGTCGCCTCGTCCTTACCGGCGATCTGCGGATCTTGATTTGATTTCGTCATGACGACGGAGACTCGAGAAAGCCCCGCCGAACGACCGCTTGAATCGAAAGTTGATGCTAATTAATTGGTCGCTTTTAGAGCGTATTTCCAAACGCGATGGAAATTCCGCGACGCATTTATAGGATTTTGAATGAAAATTGTATAAGTGCATTGCAAGAGAGACCTTTGTACGTTATGTTATATTTCTCCGACACGATTAAAAATTCAAAAAACTGATGTCAAAGAAAACCTCGTGTTAAACAAAAGTGATTACAGTCGTCTGTTACGTAAAAAAGTTTTATTTAAATTAGATGCTTGATAAAGGAAAGAAATAATTTTCCTAGGATAGTGAATTAACCTAGACTTTTATTTAGCAGCAATAAATTTTGCCGTGCATCGGATTATTTCTTTAGTAAACAATTTTGTATAAGCTGTAGCCGGTATAATGGAGATATTACAATAGTTAAGAAAGAGGCGGGCACTTTTAATAGCGTAATCTCAAGTTGCCTCATTAATACATCAAAAGAACACACGGGAGATAATTTCTTTTTATTAAGTTGGTGGAAACAAAACAATTATTAATATTTATGAAAATTTTTCGCCTGTGTGCGGTGCACGTCACGGAAGGATAATGCGACCAAAGAATATAATAATTCTCATCTTCGCAAGGATGTCCATTTTATTACTAGTTTATGCAAGATCGAATATCAGTCTGATACGAGGTAGATCGTTAATTTTAACAGGATTTTCCCGTCCTTTGGTATCCAACAGCGTTTTTTGATATCGAGTTGTTCATCGCGAATGATTGTCGATTATGGGTAAATGTTGAAACGATATCTAGATCGACCCCCGAGGCAGTCAGTGTGGAAATACCAATATCGTTCTGAAGTCCCAAAGAGAGGATGAAGAAAATAATAGCAGAATTCTGGGAGCAAAGCAGCGAGTTTTACATTATGTCTTATTTTTCTAGAACGGCTGCCAGATTTTGTTTATCCTCATTTAAACTGCCATGTATTATTTGTATAGATATGTACTAAATGTTAATGAAATAAAATTAGTGCATAATTTGTTATAACTTTTTAAGATAACTCTTTTCGGAATTTGATCACGATAAAACTTATACGTATTAATATCCAGAAATACTGAAAAACTGGTGCAAATTTTATAAATATGTTTATATAAGAATTATGAATTAGCTGTCTCAAGCAAGTACGATTTAAAATAATATGTTTGTATATAGTAATTTTTTTTGTTTTGTATATACCGCTTTAATTCCAAATATCTATTAGGGTACAAATGATTAAAAAAAACTATAAAAATGCAAATCTTTGCTATGGATAGTCTCACACACACAATTCAGTTCGCTGGCAGATTTTTGAACAAACGAATTGTTACATTGCGCAGTTTTCGATGGAAGTCAAAAACGATCAAGCAAACGTAATTCTATTTGCATGGTTCATGTTTGCATTTCTCCAGCGCGTGAATAACATGCCCGTGTGTGAAACGAAGGCAGTGCAAAATAGAAGATACAGGAAATATTGTTGTTTGTTTCGAGGTAGGATTGAATTTATTTCTAATTTCAGTAATAGTACGGTAAAATTAAAAAATATTGACGTACGTATAAACGTATATATACAGAGTGGATATTAAATAATGTAAAAGATTTTTGTGTATGTTTCAAGTTTCAAAATAACTTATGAGTAGTGTTCGAAATTTTTGAAAAAAAGCGAAATTTTTTCTTTAGCTTTGACACCCTGTATTTTTGAAATTAAAACGTTTCGGACGTATGAAATTTTTGTCTTGAATTTGTGTGAGAAATTATTCCTTAAAATCTTTTATTACTTAGTCTCCACCCTGTATATTATTATTTCTTTATCGTAGACAAAGATGAATATAAAATTGAAACGCGGGAATTCCCAAGATGAGACGTGTATGTGTATATACGTCATCGAACTGCCATGTTATTTTTTTCGTCTGAATCATAAAGTACACGCATCAAGATATTTATGGTATAGATTAAGATCTAGCGAACAGATTATTTCAAGAGATATTAGCGATTTCATACTATTGACAACCGGAAAGAGTGACATTTTGGCTTTTTATAATACGAATCCAAGGAAATTAATTCTTGTTTGGTCAGTCGTGATTTAGTCGTAATATCGAATCTTATCGGAAAGTTGACGCGGCATACTGCGAAAGGAGATCAGCAAAACAGAAATTATCGAATAAGACATACATGTCCAAGAACATAAGAAATACGTTATCACAATATATTTACCTGCAATAAAAGATTAATTAGCACTCATAACGATAAATAAAAAGACCAATGTATCACGCGTTAATCAATTTTTATTGATTTTTGAATGCAGAAATATTTGAATGGTAATTATTATCTGACTTATGATGCTCATATAATTATGAGATAAAACGATTCGCAGAACTCTTCAATACCAGATTATTGCGCGGTATACATTTTTAAGCCGCAAATATACTGGAGTTTGCTTCGTGAGACATCTGATAAGAGAACGATAAAATTTATTATCTAATGATAACTCGATTTATCGGTGAGTTTAATAAGCATTATACTTCGAAGATCGTTTAATTTTGAACTGTATTTGAATTTTAAAGCGCACCTTCATCCATTCGACGAATTTCATTTATGAAACATATTGCTTGCATGATTAATCAAATTGCTATAAACGTTCTATGAAATGTTATCAGATATTCTGTTTTAATTTTATCTTGTTGTCTCACACATAATGTTCGAAATTCTGCTGAAAATGTTTCTTAAATGTTTATAATTAGACGCTCAAGTGTCCTAATAATCGTATCTGTTGAAACGTATTGAGAACATTGCGCGAGGTGATGTTGTTAATTCGTTTTATTAATTTAAAACAATCGCGATATGCCGACGCGAAGAGACCGGATTATGCATTCGCGCATCATCGATGCAATTTCAAAGTACCTTAACTCTCGAGAGACGAATTTGCAAAGGAGAAAATTATGCAAACACATACGCAGTCCACCGTTTTATCCGCACCGAAGACCGGGATAACCCGAACAAACTTTCCCAGGGATTGCTTTCTCAACGGAGCAACGCTTCAGGATTGTCACGAGGTACCTATCTGGCTGGCGCTGGAACTTTAAGCTTGCCATCGGGTATAATGGCGTTCGAGCTTCTTCATTATGCAGGCCAATCATGACTGCAACTTCCTTCAAGTCATCCGCTGTGTCAGCCTTTCAATTATACATATACGGCACTCTCCATTTGACGCAGTCTACAATGCATTTCCACTACTTATACCAGTGGTCGTCCGTACGTATTAAAAGCCAACCGTATCGGGTGTTTAAAAAAAAATTGGTACACTTAGTAATTCTTTTCTTTTTTTAATTTCAAAATGAAATTAAAGTATCAAAAGAACCGATAAAGCACCGATTTATTTATATGTATACCCTCTCTTATTCTTGAAGCAGAGTAAATGTTTGTGCACAGATTATATCGCGCTGTATCGAGAGACTCAAGTTAGTTTAAGTAACGCCTATAACTATCAAGATAATATTGAAAAATAATTCTTTTATCGACAAGCGATATGATTAAATATCAGTGCGAGCTTTATCGTAAAAGCATAGTCTTTGTTCTACGGAGCATTTGCAAAAGTGCAAACATTCGATTTGTTAAAACACATGCAATTATATAATTTGTTAAAACATATGCAATGTACATACGTATGTGTGCGTATACGCAATTAAATTAATTCAAATTTAATTGGTCAGTGCAAACATTTATATTGCACTTGCAGCATATGAACACATTTTTTTATTGAGAAAGGAACAAAGAAACAAAAGGTACGAAAGAATATAATACAAAAACTTAAAAAACGGAAGATATAAACAAATTTTGTTTAATATGTATCTGTTCAAGTTTTTCTCTTTCCTTTCTACGCGATATCTTACAAAATAAATTTAAGATTAATAAAAGATTTAAATTATAACACGGCGGTTATCATATACACATATTTGTACTTATATCTAGTCTCTATATATTTATCTACAGAATTTATTTTATTATTAGAATAAAACAATATTGTTTCAAAACAATCTTAAACATTTGCGAGAAATCTCTGCGTTGTCTCTCGTAATCAAAAAACTAATATTGACTTTTATCCTAATTATTTAGTTTTATCACAAGGGCTGCAGAATATTTTACTTTTCTTTTTTAAATGTTACTTGTAAGTAAGTTATAACTAAAGCGAGTCATAATTAGAGGCCGAACTTAAGGTTTCGCTTAGAATTCCAAGGTGTATAGAACGTAGGCAAACCTCAACGCAGCCTAAAGGCAAGACATGTAGCCTACGGCAATTATATGCAAATCTCAGCAAGTTGTGCCTAAAACCTCAACACTGTCGCCAACCAGCAGCCACCATCTCAACCGAACAAGGAATGATGCGAGTAACACCCATCAATAAATCGACACACAAAGTAACAAATCTAATTTAGAGAAGTAAAGCGCATAAGACAGAAATTTAAAAAAAAGAGTATCAGTTGATTCTTTAGATTGATCGGGAATTCCATTTGATAAGAAACGGAAATAATTTTCTCTAGATTACTTTCGTAATCTAGACAATATCTCAAATATTTCATACAATTTATAGATAACCATTTAATATAGATAAATCTTCCTCTCTCCCTCTCTTTCTTTTGCATTTTTTTTTATTTTATAAATCGCTAATATAAAAATCAAGTCAATATAATATTTAACAATATTACACATACAGCGTAAGCATATATTCCATTGTGTTCTCACTGAAACTTTGTTATCACCATCGCGCCAGAGAGCGAAGCAAATATTATCTCATTAAATGTCTGATCGAAGTCGATGACGATCTACTTGTGACAGAGACACAGACCGTCAATGACAAATAATATAACAACTACGCAGTAATTCTGAATAGCACATAATCTTAAAGTCGGCGACGCAGCTTAAACGTTGTTGGGCGTTGCGTTGTGCAATTAGATCTTCCGTGGATTCTTAATTCCGGGTTAATCGCGCAATAAGTTATTAAAAATATCACGTTGTAACAGTAGGAATAGGACTGATATTCTCTAGATTCACGCGCGCGCGAATGTGTGACCGGGCGCTTATGCATGTGTGTGTGTGTGTATTACATGTGTCAATTTTTATCTATCTCACTGTCAAGTATACACAGAGAAAGGAGTAGCCAACGCAACTGAAATATAGCCGTGGCAGCTAATGTGTGCCTTTAAAATAGGGACAGTTAATATCGTTACTGCCTAAAGTTAAATTTATTAGTTGTTAAAATTCAGGCGATACAACAAAAAATATTTATTGCTAGAATGAAATGACGTTTATGACGATGTATAAATGATGATTTTATTGAGGAACATCCAGCAAAATTTTTAAATTTTTTGGCAAAATTATTTTTTCCGTATGCCACTTTCTTAGCTATACTCCTACTAAAGTACGCTTTCTTATTTTAGCTTATAAAATTGTATCTTGCAACAAAAATATGTTTTATCTTTCATAGCTAACTTTCAACAATGACAGCAAAGTTCGAAATAGCTACTGATATTTAGCTGATAATGCTAAGTCATTTTTTTTGCGTGTGTGACAGAGACAGAGACCGCTAATGACAAGTAATATATATAACAACTACGCAGTAATTCCGAATAGCGCATAGTCTTAAGTCGACGACGCAGCGTAAACATTATTGGGCGTTGCGTTATGTAATAAAATCTCTCGTGGATTTTTAATTCCGGATTATAATCGCGCAATAAGTTATTTAAAATATCACGTTGTGACAGTATCAGCAGGAATAGGACTGATATTCTTTAGATTCACGCGCGCGCGAATGTGCGACCGGGCGCGTATGTGTGTGTGTATGCGTGCATTACATACGTCAATTTTTATCTATCTCACTGTCATGTATATGTTATAATATACACATATAAAGTGATATCTCTGCATGAGCTTCGTATAAGCGAAGGAAATTGATTAAAGGTTTGATTTCTGAAAATCGATTGACCAAATCTGTTCTCTGACAGATTATCATGACTAATCACGCTTCATTATTCTTACCTGTACTAATTATTTCTGTCGCTTTAAATCTAACGTTTGCGTATGATGGCACGAATAAAAATGAAAATTTGACCGACGTTTCCGCGCGGTATCGCCTACCCAAAAAAATCATTCCTATATTTTACAATCTATCGATCTACACACACCCGATCGATGCGGATTACGACGGTCACGTACGGATCATCCTGCAAGTGCTCGAAAAAACAGATTTCATCGTATTGCACACGGACGCATTAAAGATACAGACAAATGCATCTTTATCGGATAAATCGGGTCGATTGACTCGGATTTTGCGTTACACCCACGACGAAGAAACACAAATGCTTACGATTAAACTCGAGCGCGCACTTGATCCTGCAAAGTACACATTAGAAGTATCCTTTAAAGGACACATCGCAAATGACGTATTCGGCTTTTACGCAAGTCTGTACGAAGTTGACGGAAAACTGAGGTAATATTCGGAGAGTAAGGAACTATATGTTATACATGCCGTTTTAGAGCTACACGCAAGTAGTCGGAATAAAATCAGAAAGGAAAGAAAAGTTTATGTAAAGATATGCTGAACATGAAATGACACTCCATTAAGATTTTCTTAAAATCAAATGTCTAAATATATATTTATGTAATTAATAATACAATATTTTTCGCGTTTGTTATAAAAATATATAAAAATATATAAATATATTTACGTGATTAATAATACAATATTTTTTGTGTTACTTATAAAAATTAATTAAACATAAAACTATCATAAATTCTTCTTAATTTCATTTCTTAATTTCCTATGCTTTAATTATTATCAATAGAAAGTTGTAAAGTAATTATAATTCAGAAGTCTGTGTATTTATAATAATGAGAACAATTTTTGACACTTATTTTAATTTATTTTACACTGTCGGCTATATTTTTTAGACGCATTAGCGTAACTCAATTTTCGCCTACGTACGCGCGTCGCGCGTTTCCTTGTATGGACGAGCCGTATTTAAAAGCGAAATTCCAATTGCATATTGGCCACCATAAGGATCAAAAGGCGACGAGTAATACTCCAGTGCAATCTGTACGAATAGAGTTAGTAATAATTTCTCGAATCTTATCACATTAAAAGGACATATGCAAAGATATGCAAAAGATATGCGGGAAAAGCAAACTATCTCACTATTGTAACCGCAAAAATTATAGAAATGATATCTACTGTGTGACCACATTCCGCCGCACGCCGCGAATGCCCACATATTTGGTCGGATGGACGGTGCACAACTTTGTCCCGGAACGATCAAGAATTTCGGAGGACTTCAAGATGTGGACGAGAGACTCCATGAAGTTTCGCGGATCGATGGCCTTGAATCGCGGTCGGGCAGTCTACTCGGCGCTGCAGACGTGGTTATTGGTGAAGAGCCCGCTGGTGAAGGTCGATCAATTCGCGATACCGGATTTCAATTTCAACGCGATGGAGAACTGGGGCCTCATCACTTACAGGGAGTCCGTAGTGTTGCACGAGGATGGAACCCCGACGAGGAAAACGGTGGACGGACTGTCGACGATGGCTCACGAGTACACTCACAGTTGGTTCGGCAATCTGGTGACACCCGTATTCTGGGACGTCGTTTGGTTGAAGGAAGGCTTCGCCACGTATTTCCAGTACTTCGGCGTGTCCTTAGCGGAACCGGAGCTGAGAATGATGAATGTATTTGTAGTAGATTGCCTGCAGCCGACACTGCTCGCAGATTCCGACAATCATACACGCACATTGAACGGTCGAGAGGTCGGGAGCCGTGACAGCATTATGGCTACGTTGGATTTTGTCTCTTATAAAAAAGGTATAGAGTGCATAATTAGTTATTTCCGTATTTTTTATTGCGTAAACTTGATAGTATTTACCTTAATAGTTTTCGCTAATAAGTGTAAAAATTTTAAACCTTTTTGATAACAATTTTAAAATAATTTATAATTATTTTTAAATAGAACGAAATGAAAAGATATATATAAATTTTGCCACATATAAATCTGATTCGATCACTTATGAATGCTATGTCATCTTTTTCTTGCATAACCCGCTGATCATATCACTATACGTGTAACGATCTCGCAAAACAGATAGAGTTATCTTCCGACCATGTGATAATTAATTCTTGCGAATGATTACTTATTTAAATCACACATAGGCAACTTCATACTAATTATAATTTCAATTCTCCATGTTTGTGATACATTTTCAGATTTTTAATTAAAATAGCAATTACACGAAATCGCGAAATTGCACTTACTTTTATTATAGTTAGTTTATAGGATCAATAGTATACATGTATCTATTTCTGAAAGATTCATATAATACACCATAATATAATTGAAATAAATTCTAATATTGTGTAATATTCTCATATTGTTTTCAGGTGCATCCATAATTCGTATGATCAATTATGCCATCGGCAGCACAGCGTTTCAATTAGGATTACAAAATTATTTGCGCGAAATGTAGGTGTCTGTGTTATACGCGCGGAACATTTTTTAAATTCCTATTCCGATAATTTTGTAACATAAACGCACAATATTATTGTCGTGTGATCCATGCAATTATTTTATTTTCTCAAACTAATAACAATTATTTTACTTTTTGTCGTTAATTTAACATCGTTTTTATCACAAAAATTCATTTTTATTAATAGGTCGTATCAGGCAGCCACTCCATTCGACTTGTATCGACATCTGCAAATCGCATCAAATAGATCAGGGCAATTGCACAAGGCTATATCTGTAAAAGATGTCGTAGAATTCTGGGCAAATCAGCCAGGGTATCCCTTAGTGACTATTACACGAAACTGCAGTTCGAAAGCTCTATTTGCCTCGCAAGAACGATTTTATCTGAACCGTCAAGCAGCGCGAACAGATCTCGAAAAATCGGGTTGGTGGATACCGTTGACCTTCGTCACCGAAGAATCGAATTCCACATTTGATCGAATTACTACGGCTGCCTGGTTGAAGCCACAGGCCAAGAGCACGATAATCGGTTCCGTCGAGCCGAACTCGTGGGTGATTTTCAACGTTCAGCAAGTTGGATATTATAGAGTCAATTATGACAAGAATAACTGGAAAATGCTTATCCGCCACTTGAAGTTGAAGAATTTCAAAAAAATACATGTGATAAATAGGGCTGCGCTTCTAGATGACGCTTTTAATTTAGCTAGAGCCGGTTACGTGGATTATTCCGTTCCATTTGATCTCGCGACATATCTCACTCGTGAAACCGAATACGAGCCGTGGGTCGCCGCGATAAATAACTTTAATTTTCTCAATCATATTTTAGCCTGCTCACCACGAGTACAACGACTCTTTCAGGTAAACGTTTATTTTTCTATATAAGCAACGAACTTTAGTTTCAAAATTTAACTAATCATTTAGAAAATATGTCACAATATTTTTTATGTTATAACTTTATTATGAACGAAATTAACGTAATGCTCTTGTTTCCAACTTATAAATATTTCTTTTAAGATTTTTTAAGAGAATAAAATATTAGAGACATAAAATTAATAGGTACATACATTTGTATATTTTCCGTTTCCTTACAAATTAAAATTCCAATTATATCATTTGTTAGGTAAAGAAACTTTTCTTATCACTACAAACTATTAAACTACACAATTTGGTGATAATTTTTATTTCTTTAATAACACTTCAATATAATTTGCAGACCTATGCAAATGACTTACTTAAACCAATATACAGTCTATTAAGCTTTACGGAAAGTCCCGTGGACAGTTCAATAACGAAACTACATCGCGAATCGATCCTATCTACTGCGTGCTCTGTCAATAATATCCACTGCTTAAAGACATCAAAGACTCTATTTAAATCGTGGATTTTGTCTGAGAAAAGGTACGATCATTAACGGATTCCGAAACCAATACAATTGTACATATTTGCAATATTAATATTTTTAACTGAAGTTTAACTATGATCCAAATATTCGAAGGCTCACAGGCTCGAAGGCGGAATGTTTTTATCAACTGTCCTCTCATGTTTCTATAGTACTTTATCTTATTTTCGTGAATTAAGCTTTATCTTAGGGAAAGATAACCGATTAACTCAGTGCACATTTTTATAATAGTACATTTTATGTATACACGCAGCACAATACCAGGAAATTTCAAGAGTTTCGTGTATTGTGTGGGCATTCGCGCAGGTGATGATAACGATTGGCATACAGTTTGGAACAGGTTTCTGCGCACTGACTTACATGCAGAACAGGAGCTCTTGCTAAGTGCACTCGGATGTACTAAAACTCCTCGTTTAATCGACAGGTGGATTCTAAGAATTGGATCATTAATAAATGCGTTTAAGATCAGATACTGAATTTGTTGACTTTCAGATATCTCAACACGTCCATAACGTATGGACTTGAACTACGCAAACAATATAGGATGACAATAGTTAATGCCATTTTGAACGGCAATCTCGAAAATGTTAATTACGTCATTGATTTTATTCGTAATAATTTACGCACAATTCTTAAATCGTATGTATCATGCGTTCTTATCTTCTTTATTTTATATTTCGTATATTTTTATTATATACTTTAAATCTTATTTTATTTATTACACAATAATTATTTTATTTATTACACAACAGATTCTCTCAATTAAAACTTGCTTTTTGAGAGCCAAGATAGTACTGTTTATTACATTATTTCATTTAACAGCAAATACTTGATTACGTGCACCGTTGAAAAAGTTTTATCGGAAAACAGATTTTCGTGAAAAAATATTAAACTCGATTAAAATCTTTTGTTTTATTTTTTATTAATTAAATATGACCAAAAAGATATATAATGGTATAGTTTATTTGTTTGCAATATTACTTCTCGTATTTACAAAACAAATCGTGCAACATTTTGTCTCTATTTTTACAGAAGAGGAATAGATTTCTTAACCAAAATATTCACTGCTATAGGCGACAAAATCATTACAAAAACCCAATTAAACAAGGTACAATTTATATGTATTATTTAACTTAATATCACTTCTGTTTTATTTTAATGATATTTTAATGATATTTAGAATATTTTATTAAAATTCATTATATTATATCAACAAGATAACAACACAATGTTTGTAATATTATAGTTTCGCTCATTTGTTGATGATAACATCGAAGATCTAGGATCAGCGTTGAATTCAGCAAGAAAAGCCGTAAGCGTTTCTACTTCATCCTTAGAGTGGATCAATAAATTTTTACCTGCAATCGAAAAAGCATTGTCACTTAATTAGTTATTTAATATATTGTAATATATTTGTATAATATGTAATAATATTTTATAATAAAACATCATGTAACTAATATATATATATAAAATATTTTAATATGTATTGTATCTGTAATCGATTTATCATACATGTACAAGGAAATAAAGAGATATTACATTTAAAAATTTATTCTATCGATCCTGTACAAGCACTGCCCCAGTTATAAAAGAAATTGAGTCTATAAAATATATTTACAAAAAGACTAATTAATTATTATTTTAATATTAATTGAGAAACATCAACAATATTGGTTTAGAATAGAATTATCAAGATTTCTTAGACCAATTAATCTAGCTTCTGTTCTCTTCTTTATAAAAATTGATAAAACTTAATATTTATATAAACATTTTGTAAATCTTTTGTTCTTATTTTATATATGATAATTGATTGTTTGTGATATCCATTCATTACAAACATCCGTTTTCTTGAGATTTTTATAACATACTTTATGATATACTTTATGATTAAATCTTTAGATAAAGAGATACTATCTTTTTCCTATGTAACATATATTTAATACATCTTATGTCTTACATTTGTATTTATGTGTTTTATTAAATTTTAAAAAGATGCATACGTAACATGAAAAAATTAATAATAAAACCTTCGAATTACGTTCAAATTAAACGTTTTTTACGTATCTATATCATGACGCTTGTGTGCTTACCAGACGATATCCTAAATGGATCAATCAGTTTTTATCTTGATCTGCGTAAATATACTGTAGATAATAGAAAAAAAGGTTAACATAAAATTTTACTTCGTGAGAGAATGTATATTTTTATATAAAAACTGTAAAGAGCATATTATATTACATTATATATTATATTACTATTAAAGATTTATTTAATAAATTATCTTATATGAAAAATTTTTGAAAATAAAATTAGTCTTTTCTTCGTAGTATTTTGAGATGTTTAATCCATATTATTAAAAATTGAAGATAAATTTAATTGTAATCTCACTATTAGCTTTGACTTATGATTGTATTGCAAGTTCGACATTAATTCGGCGCGCATTAATTTTTGGCTGAACAATAGATTTAGAATTCATATAAAAATATTATTAGGTGCCAAGATCCAGCCTCGATCGTAGAAGGCGGCTTTAAAATTTACGTGCTCTAGTTCAACTTACTATTATTTATAGGTTTTTTTCTTATATATATTTTTGCTTAATACGTGATAATTATTAAATTTAAGTACCAAGAAGAAAAATAAAAATATATATATAAGGAATTTATATAGACATTTCCAGATTAACATACAACTTCGCTCTTAGCAAGATTTAATTTATAATACAAAAGTAAAAAATTATAATAGAATTAAAAACTCTTTATAAATTAATGCAGTATGTTGCTTAAGCAGTATATCATTCGGCCTCCTGAAAGATATGATAAAAAAATTAGATCTCGGTGATATCTCTGACTGGGTCTGCCATCGATTGGTCGGATAACATTGTATTTTAGTTATCGCGTTATCAGCGGTGCCAGAGCTAAAAAACTGTCCCGGAAATTTCGCGAGTCGTGTTCGGAATGGTCCACTTACCTCTCTTTCCTCGAAGAGTATAATACCTCTTGCTCCGAAAGAACCTGACGATAAGATTAGAGGTGGCAGCGACATTTCTTTTTTAACGACACATCCTATCGTCACGGTCTTATAAGGCCTGAAGTTTTGACCAGGCTGTCTTTCACTAAATCTCGTCTCTGCGGGGACGAGGGATCAAACCCGCACGGCTCTCCATCTTTAATTTAGTTTTAAGGTACGTCGTTAATTATCATTGATTGCACCCCTCTTGTAAAATAATTAATTATTACAAATACAAATAGTGTTTTTTAAATAAAAATTTATAATGCAAGTATATGTTTTTATCGAGAAATTATATATACTTTTTGTAACCGCATAACATTCAACATATAATTTATAAAATTTGATATAATTTGACTCGAAATTTGTATTATTCTTTTATTATTATCAAATTCTTACTTTAAACAAATTAGAAATAAATGTTAGATTATTTATAAATTTCAAAATTTTTTTACTACATAAATATTAATTGAAATATTTCAAAGTTAATAAAAATCAATAATTAAATATTTATTATAAAATATTAAATTTTTTTTGTAGATTATTTGTTTATCAGATGCACCTTGTCATTATGCAATTGTGTCTTAATTGTATTGTGTAACGGAAATAAATTAAATCGATATTTTCACGCAAAATTTTTTCGTTTACACAGGTACGATGTTAATAATGAGATTCTTGCTGCCATTAATGCTTGTCCTAGCGTCTTGCTGGGCAAGCAAACCTATATTACATGTGACTTCTCAAGCTACGCAACAATTAGACGACTATAGGTTACCGTCAGAAGTCGTACCTACTGAATATGAAATTTTATTGACACCGACTTTCGAGTCCGGGACAGAAAAAGATAAAAATTTTACTTTCGAAGGATGGTCTAAAATCAATCTCGATATTAAGAATTCTACAAATATCATAACATTCCATGCTTCCAAAGAACTTGATATCGAAAATAAAAAAATTACGCTGATACATGGTGGCGAGAACATACGAGCAATACAACCAATACAAGTTTTGCGTGATACACGAAGAGACTTCGTACAACTCATTTTTATGGAACCTATTCCTGCACCAAATACTGCAATACTATCTTTGAGTTATACTGGGACGTTAAATGATGAATTACGTGGATTCTACAGAAGTTCTTACCAGAATAAGGATGGAGAAACAAAGTAAGGCAATTAAATTTCTTCTCAAATTTTTGCAAAAGAAACTTGTTAAATCTGTTTAAGATTTAAATTATAATTTTTATATTATATATAATATATATATATATATATATATAAGTTTTGTATTATTAGCTTAAGATTATTTAAAATAATTCTTATGTTGTCAATTGTAACTTAAATGATTGAATAGATTTAGATTCAAACAGAGAGTTACCGTTAATTATAAATTTAAGTAAATTGAAAAAACTTTTAAATATCCTATTTAATGAATTGTTTTTCTTTGTAAATTTTCTATTACAAAAAGTTGAATAATTAATTTGTCTTTAGATAAAAAAAATTAATATTGTAGTATTTTTTTTAACAATGTTGAATCAAATCTTTTACCGACAAATTGAAATTAAAATGGATATTTTTTTGAATTCAAATAATTTTATTTTAACAATTGTAAATGCATCAAAATAAGGAAAAAAATAATTTGAAATAATACAATTATTGTATGTTACAGGTGGCTTGCAACGACTCACTTTGAACCAGTAAGCGCGAGACAGGCCTTCCCATGTTGGGACGAACCGGAATTAAAAGCACAATTTACCATTAGAATTAAAGTTCCTAAAATTGATAATTACACTGCAATTTCGAATATGCTTTATACAAACGTTACGAAAGATAGAGAATACATTTTCATGAAGACACCAAAAATGTCTACTTACCTCGTGGCTTTTGTAGTTTCGGATTTCACAGCTCTACAGAACAAGGCTAATAATTTTAGCGTTTTTGCGAAACCCACGATAGAGGAGAGTGCGAAAACATTTGCATACGACTACGGATTGAACACATTAGAAGTGCTAAAGGAATTTACCAGCATCGATTATTACGATAGAACGCCCAAGATGGATCAAATTGCAATTCCAGATTTCGGGGCTGATGCTATGGAAAATTGGGGTCTTGTGACGTACAGGTAATATCAGACAGAGATCGATCAATCAAAGAACGATCAAAGTTCAAATTTCTCGACGGACATTTTGACTTGTTATACGATTAATTCAAAGTCCAAAGCTATATTTCGAACTTACAATTTATCTAATCTATCTATCAATTTTCTATCTACTTATTACAATCTATTCATTTAATCTATTTTATCGATTTATTGAAATTACTTAATTTTATACAAAATGTGTAAAAATTTTTGCCTTACACAACTTTATGCACAACAAATGTGATCATTATATCTCTTCAAGGATTGATTTTAATTAGTATAAAAGTCACATAAGTTACAATAATTATCATAAATTTACAATGACAATTAATATGTAAAAAAATATATTGTTTATTTTTCAGAGAACCTCAACTTTTCTACATAAAGGAGAAATCCACTACGGAAAAGAAGCAAGCTATAGCGACAACAATAGCTCACGAGTTCTCTCATCAATGGTTTGGTAATTTGGTTACTTGCAAATGGTGGAATGAAATCTGGCTAAATGAAGGGTTTGCTACCTTCTTCAATATTATATTACCGATAAGGTTATTCCAAAAATGGTAAGTAATAAGCCAAATATTTTCAATTTTTGAATTAAGAAATAACTATCAAGTCTAAATTTAAGTTAGTAAAAACACAATTTACAATGCCATTCATTTTACTATATTAAAATTATTCAGAAACCCGTCGATATTTAAAAAAAACTTATACTATATAAACTATAATGTCACTTATTGTAATGAAACTACCAACTGAACTAAAAAAACGTTAATTTAAATTGCAGTATGAGAAACAAAATTGGCGTCTTATGGAACAATTTGTAGTTAAAAATCTCCAAGCATCGTCATTTGTTGTTGATGCAAGTAGTAAAGCTCGCCCATTAAGGCCTAAAACCCCCGTACAAACTTCTACCCAAATTCGAAGCTTATTCGACGACATTGCCTACAGAAAAGGTAAATTAATTGTTTCTTTTTTTTTTTTGACAAAAAAATAATTAACCCACTACTTTAATTTATTAAATTTATGTTATTTATATTTTCATGCAGGTGCTTCTGTTCTTTATATGATGCAAGGATTCTTATCGGATGAAGTTTTCCAGGAAGGACTTAGACAATATCTAACTGTCCAGTGAGTTTATTATAATTATTTATATTTATTAAAAAAAGAAACGTTTTTAAACATTTATATTATATAAACATAAGAATTGAATAATGTAAGTCACAGTCATATATAACTGCAGCATTACATACGAGAAGATAATAAAATAATTGAAGGCATTGTTGCAACAGTGAGCTAAACCCATATTTTATAACAACGAAGAAAATAAATTTTAGAATTAAAGTGATGAACTTTAAAGTACATTTTCTCCGTTTTTATAAAATGTTATAAAAAGTGGGTTTGTAGCCCACTGTTGCAGCAAGCCCTTTTAATTATACAAATTCTTAATTTTTAGCGCGGAGAAAGGAGTTGACTCTAACGATCTCTTCAAGTCTATTCAAAGTGTATTAAATGATACACTAATAGAAAAATATTTGCCGAACAATGAAACTGAAATTGCGGACGTTATGCAAAATTGGGTAAACGAACCTGGATATCCCGTCATCACCGTCACGTGGAAAGAGAACTCAACTGATGTAGTTAACATAAAGCAGGAACGATTCTTCTTAGTGAAACCGGCGAAAGAGGATAAGACTCAGTGGTACATACCCCTTACTTATGTAACAGAAGCTAAGCCCGAAGAGAAAAAATCTCACTGGATGATACCAGGAACGAATGATACCTCACTTCAGATACTGAACAATACATTATGGATACTTTTCAATAAGGATCAAAAAGGTATGTCGATCGTTTTGTAATCTTTATATTTATTACATTTGTTAACGATGCATGTATCTGTTAATCTACTTGATTACTTGACATACTTGCCTTTTTCAATAAAATTTCGTCTCGTATACAACGATGAAAAACAAATAATATGATTAATTTAATGTGTTATAATAGTTGTGACTTGTGCCTCTTGCATAGTCATGATTGTAAGAGCAAATTTGTCGCGTAGACATCGATTAAAAGTCACAAAAATATCAAATAAAATTATTTACAGGATACTATCGTGTAAATTACGACGATACAAATTGGCAGCGTCTAGCGACGGCCTTAACGACGGAAGATCATGCAAAAATAAACGCGATTAATCGCGCCCAACTGATCGACGATGCGTTAAATCTCGCGCGTGCAGGATACGTGAAATATGACATTGCATTGCAGATGACGACGTATCTGTCGGGTGAGAAGGATTATATTCCATGGTATGCCGCTGTCAGAGCATTCGATTATCTGGACAGCGTATTAGTGGGTACGAAGAAATACCCAGAGTATCATGTAAGTTGAATTGGAAGAAATACGCGATGTCGTAATCGCAAATGCATGTTTTAATAGAGAAAAAAAAAGGGAAACGTTTGCGAATTCTATTCTAATGCGTCGTTTAATTTCAGAAATACATCGCTGATAAAATAACGGCTTTTGCAACGGCAGTCGACTATAAAGAATGGGAAAAAGGTTCGCATGTAGATAAACTCGCCAAAGTGTTGGCGCTAAACACGGCTTGTAAATATGGACTGGACGATTGCACGAACTTCGCTAAACAGAAACTCACAGATTGGTTGGATGACAAGAAGGATGAGAAAAAACAGGCTGACGAGGACGGAGATAAGAAGAAGGACACGAGGTAAATCCGAAATCTTGCCGTAGATTTCGTGAATCTACGACCGCATTATACCTGATGCTAAATAAATAAGATTTCTACTTTTATTATGAATTTCGTACGATTTAATAGAATATGTTGAACGAGACGATGCAAACGCGCAGTTTTATTCTGAAATTATTTTAAAAATATTTGTTAACTTATAAAATTTTTGCTGCAAAACAGAATACGTATACGCGATACACACATACAAAATGTGCTCTGCGTATGCAGGTTTCTTGTTAACATCATGCGATATTACGTATCTAATCTATACAAATTGTGATAATCGCTGTGTTATTTCCAGCCTCTCGCCGGACATGAGAAAGGGAATTATTTGTGCCGGATTGCGAAATGCAGACATGGAAACGTGGAACAAGGCTCTAGAAAAGTACAAAGATAACGGAGATAAAGATGAAAAGGCGGATCTACTGGCCGGTCTTGGTTGCGCCACGTCCAAGGAAATCGTCCAGAAATTCCTTGAGTTAACTCTTGAGAAGGAGCCTAAAGAAAAAATCGTCCAGAAATTCCTTAAGTTAACTATTGAGAAGAAGCCCAAAGTTGAAGTTAATATTTTTGATGCGATGAATTCGATATTTGCGGGTAACGCCGAATCCTTCGACATTCTCATAGAATTTATCTACAAGAATATTGGGGAGATCCAAAAGGCGTAAGTTGCCTTTTATTACTTACTTTGATAGTGATAAACACAAATGTTGATAATGTAATGATTTCTTCACAGAGATAAAGAAGATAACTCGATGCTCGCTGCCCTCCTTAATAATCTTTCCAACCGAGTCGTAACATTGGTGCAATATACACAGGTAATATATCATTATTTTCTTTCTTAATCTATTATATTTTTAAGTAAGGAGAATTAGGCATTCATTAGAAGACGTTTTTTTTTCATTTATCGCACGTATCATATGCGGTATAATTTAATTTTATCAACGTAATTTAAATTACTGTCTACCCATCGGAAATTAACAATAGATAATTTATATCCTTAAATTTAAAACTGTCTCAAAATTTGAACGCTTTTTTTAGCTGCGTGATTAAGCGCCATATGTGAATATAAGATCGTGATAACGTATCTTTTGTGTGACTAAATTTTAGTAATTAGAACCTTCGAAACATTTCATTTCTATCTCGTCCTTGATCGTGCGCTTTTATCTTATCTCAGAGTGGATTAGATGTTCCACAATTTTGTGAAATATTGCGTCTCCAAAATGAAATCGGTCATCCTTAACCATATATTGCGTACTAATAATATCGATAACTGATGAAAAGTTTTTAATACAACCGTTTTCGCATTTTAGTTGTCACTACTTGTACATGGGCTACTGCAGAAAACAGAAAATGTTCAATTGTTCGAAGGGGTAGTCCGACTTGTCTGGGTTCAAACCTATCAGGGCGAGGTTGAAAAGTGGTTAGCAGATAATTGTAAAGTTTGTCAAAAAGAAGGAGAAAAGCCAGACTCCGCAAGTTCCATTACTGTGGCAACGTTCCTTCTAATTATTTCATTGTTAATCACACGATTCTATTGAAATGTCAAATTCATCGTCGCGTTATGTAACATCTTTAATTGCTCAAGTTTCAACTTGATCATATTTTCTCGATGAAATCGGTGACATGTAAGTATAACACTTTCCCGACCCTTCCAACGATGTTCAATTATTGAGACATTACCGCACTTGATTTTGTAAAGGGGAAAAAGATGAGATTAGAAGGCCCTGCCAGATGTATTACACATTACTTTTCCAATTTCTCATATTAGTTTTAAGTTACAACAAATTTATAATTGCGCGTTTGTTGTAATTTGTGAGATGTCAAACACATCCTTTTTGGTAATGCTGATTATATTATAGCTAAATGATGTAATATTTAACAAATTATATATAAATTAAACACTAAATAGATTCATCCTATGTACTGGAAACTTAACACTGTATAATTAATATGCTGAAAAATAATTAAGACGCACAACATAGAGTTAATAATTGTGTGTACATGGTATGATTGTAAATATACTGATTGCTATATTTATACCACTTACACAATAGCTCTTTTAAATTATGACTATTTATAATCAAAATAAAGAAAAGATACAAATGTTAATCTTTTTCGTCAACTTTTAATGATCAACAATTATCAGCACGACACATCTCCATCGAATGGTGGCAAAAGTAAAAATTGTTTTAAAAATGTTTATATAAGGTGGAACAACTTTTTTTATTCATTCGCATAGAACTCGAAACAGGTCAGAACTACAAGAATCGAAAATTGTCAGCAGGACAGCTTTCCATCGAATATCATGCTGCCATATGGATATTCAGAACTGTGTAAAAATGATTAATTGTTGCACTTTTGTCTTGAAATTGTTATATAATTATAAAATTAATTTAGGATTAGTAAGGGGAATACTTGACAGATGTCGTAACATTTGACGGGATATAGTACAGGGAGATGTGCCGTGAAGTTATAGCACGTTATTTTTTAATTTTTATTTTTTTGGTATTAAAAATGCGGAACACTTTTTAATATTTATCAGGTATGGTAGAACTATGGAAAGTGCTACCGGAACTATTATTGTTTTTTAAAAATTAACAAATGCCTAACTTCGCAGATATAAAAGACAATTGAGTTGAGATTTTTACAAAGAGATTAATTTCGATAAAATTATCAAATTATAAAGAGATTTTTTGCAATGTAATCGATTTATTACTCTAAACATGCCTTTTGTTATGCTCCCCTTGTAGCGATGGATACAAGGGGAGAGGGCGAAGGGGGCGATCGCCTCTCCTCCCAGAGCTCTCCGAACAATTTTGTATATTGGAAAAAGTCGGTTTTAAATGAATTGAAAAAAAAAATTATCAAAGACTAATTTATTCAAGACTAAGTAATGTTCACTCAATTGTTTTTTAATCATAAAAAATTATAAAAATAACATTAACGACAATAGTAATTAAATATTTACATTTTGTCATACCGTCCCCCCCCCCCAAAAAAACCACTCTCTGATCCGCCACTGGTTGTTATAATTTACCTATTCTTCGCAAAGTACACTTAATAAAAAATATAATTGTTTTTAGTACGTATAATTAGGGAAGAATTAGTAGATTCTAAATCCTCAATGTACAGCGTATAATTATAGCATTATGTACAGCGTATTTATTATGTATCCATCCGGACGAGACGTTGCATAATTATTGTTGTTACGTAAATGCTAGTAATATTCATAAAAATCTTACCGGATTAAATATCATTAAAATAGTCGTAATAGTAAAATAAGCTTTGGTGTTAAAGCTTTTTTTTACATTAAACACACGCAATAATGAGAAAAAAGTTCAAGTTATTCTTTAATTTATATTCTTCCGTATATTTAAAAATTATAATGTGTGATATAACTCATCGTTTCATAATATGAGACATAGGTCAATCCTGTAAATTATTCATGTCACGATAGACACGTTTGAAATAACAATGGATGAACACACATCCGATCGTCACACCGAATACCAGATATTCAAACCGAACGTTATAAAAAGAAGACTAAAGCCGATTTTCTTCACAAGTAGAAGCACTTTACTATCGTGCATCTAGCCGCCGCAACGTTTCGCAGGATTTCCGCAATTATATTTGCGTAAATATACAGAGCAGAAAGGTAATATTCGTCGTATACACTGACAACAATGAGAAACTGATTACAACGCGAGAATTATCTCGCCGACATTTCGCCAGGCCTTCAATAATTATCAGGAATTCATATTCAAATTCTTAATAAGCGCAACATTATCTATAGGCGCGTTTCTATATACATAGGATTTACCATAACTTGCTACCGTATAATACACATATAACAAAACAAGTTTTGTGGGCATCAAGGTCCATCAGATTAATAAAATTATAATTATATGTATAAATAAAAAATTATTCATTTATTTTAAATTTTTACATACATCTGTTTGTTTATAATACCGAGATAATTTCTGTATTCTTCTTTTTACTTAAAAACAAATCCAAATAACAACTGCGTAAAATTTAATATTGATAATATTTATACAAACTCTTCTTAAGAAAAAAAATTAATTTCTTGAAATATATAATTGGAAATGGATAAAAAAAGATATTAGAATATACTGCTTTTTTTCCTTTTCTTACAAAATAACGTCCATACAGATATTTGAAAAGACAGTTGGCATGGCGTTTCTGAAAATATTAGTGAATGTCGGTCTAATATTCACCGTTGCGACGGCTCTTCCTGTTGACGGAGATTCAGGGAATGACTTGAGCGCGGCAGTCAATTACCGTTTACCAGACAACGTAGTGCCAGTGCATTACGACATCGAGCTGACACCATATATCGAGGAGGATAAGTTTATCTTTGATGGTAAAACTCTTATCACCATCGATATCCGTCGTGCAACGCGGGACCTAAGCCTGCACGCGCTGGATTTGACGATAAATGAAACAGCGACGTCATTGATCAGCAGCGACATCGGTAGCTATGCACCTGTGGCGCATAATTATGACAATACAACGGAAATCTTAACCCTTCACTTTGATGATGAACTACCCCCTGGAATTTACAATCTATCTATGCAATTCGTCGGTATTCTAAACGACGAGTTGCATGGCTTCTTCAGAACATCATATTTCAATGAGAAAAAAGAGAGAGTGTAAGTAGATATTACAATTTCAAACTCTTCAATTATCACGCATTTTTCTCGTTATATCATTTATTAATAGTGTTTATTAAAAATAATTATCTATTCATTATCATTACACTCGCCATTTCCTTAATGTGTCAAAACCTTTAATTCACATAAGACTTAATATAAGACATTCATATTCGGAGATTTACAATTACATGTATACAATATTTTAAATGCTTTATCTTTAATTAAACCTTTTTTGTAAAAGTAACTGTATTATTAAATTTTTTATTTAAATTTATAATTATTAGATTTATATCATTTTTATATATTTTTGATACAATATTTTATCTAAAATCTTGTTCTAAATATCTGTAACCTAAAATAAGATAAATTTTAGTTGTAGGCGAGGAATTAATTTTTGAAAACGTTTTCATATTGCGTAAAATAACATATATTTCAATCTCCATTATAATTTCCAATAAAATCAGATTATTAAATTTCTAAAGAATCATATGTGAGTTCGCTCTCCTAAAATTTCATTCGAAAGCATCGATCGTGACGCATGGCATGTCACGACCATGCATGTCAGTTTGCAAGAAAGGAATATTATTGTTCAAATACGATTCATAAACCGCATTTACACGTTTTCCAAACATTTCGCTCTCGTTTTAACAGTTAACCGATGAATTTATCCGTTATCGAAAGCGTGTCACATTGAAATGTGATAGGTGGTTGGCCGCAACGCATTTCGAGGCAACCTGGGCGCGACGAGCTTTCCCATGTTGGGACGAGCCAGCATTAAAAGCCACTTTCGCTATCGCTATAAGACATCATCAAAACTACACAGCTGTGTCAAATATGCCGATACGGGATAAATTGGACGACGGATACGGCATGATGTGGACGATCTTCGACACGACTCCGATCATGTCTACCTATCTCGTGGCGTTCGCGGTGACCGATTATGTTCGTATTCCTAACGCAGATGAAACGCTCAACATGTGGTGCAGATCAGCATTGGCTCCGCATTCAAAATTCGCACAGGTGGTTGCTCAAAAGGCCAGAGACATATTGACCGAATACACCAACAGCACCGACAAAGTTCCGAAAATGGATCATTTAGCGGTTCCGGAATTCACCGCTGGTGCCATGGAAAATTGGGGACTCATTATTTACTAGTAATGCAACATATAATTTAAGAGAAATATTAACAGAATAATTTATTAAACTTTGTGCTTGTTATATATATTCCTGCCATCATAAATTTAAAATTCTTTGAGGTTTTATATTGCTAGATTATTGCATGTTAGTGTTCAACATTGCATACTTATAAATTATGAAAATAACTTTAAGATTTTTCTTTAATTGCAAAGCAATTTTTACTTTTTTATGTTCAATCTTTAATTTTTTCTAAATAGTTTTAAACATTTTCGGCCAATTTAAAACTGAATTTAAAACGATATATTAAAGTAAATGCAAAAATATATACCTATATAAAATGAAGAGGAAAATATAACAGTTATATTCCAGATTAAGAAATGAACAAAAATTATACCTAATTATAAATACTGCAAATTATGAAAATCATAAAAAGTCTTTAATTTAATTTAAACAATTATATATAAACATTAATTACCTCGTCACATACTCACAAAAAGGAACTATATATAAAAACTGAGTTATAAAATCATTTTTAGCGAACCCGACTTTGCGTACAATGAAGAAACAGATAGACTACTGCATAAACTAAGAGTAGCGGTGACAGCAGCACATGAAATGGCACATCAATGGTTTGGGAATGTGGTCAGTCCGTTATGGTGGTCTCACGTGTGGCTAAACGAGGGATTTGCATCATTCTTCGAAGAATTAATTCTTAATGAGGTGAATTTAAATATTGTTATTAAATTGAACTTATCGTATGCTCTTGTGCATTCGAAAAAAGCATCATTGTGTGGCAAATATATAGATTGATACGAGTAGATTAAGTAACAGATTGAAATATCGCATCTTTATATTTGACTTTATAGTTGAATATAAAAATATAAAAAGAACCGATTGCGGCATTTTGTGCTAAAAGAGATAATATCAATAAAATTATTAAATTATTAAATAATTACTGGTTAAATTTAAAATAGATTTCTAAAATCTTTTCTTCTATCGGTAGAGCAATAATATTATATTAATCTAATATTTTGTTAATTTTATTGAAAATTTCTAGAGTTCTGTATGCTTTCAGATTTTCAAGGAATGGCAAATAATGGATTTCTTTGTTGTCAAAGTTCAACAAGCAGCTCTACATATTGACGTTGCGAAGCGTATGAAGCCTATTACATACGAAGTTAACACTCCCATAGAAATTCAATCACTCTTCTCTTATTCCAGTTACGGCAAAGGTAAAATTGAGTAAACGTAAATGAATTCTCAAATTCCTGAACGTAAATTAACAAAGTAGAAACAAAAAACGGATTTGTATACATACATTTTTTATTTATAATTCATACATTAAATTCTTCAACAAGAATATGAAGAAATGCATACGTTCTTTAAATTCCAAAAATAAATTCTTTTTTCATCAGTTATGTTTGCAAATTCATATATAGTATACATGTTATTTTAATGTATTAGTCACGCTTTATGATGTTAATTACCACTTTTATGATGTTAATTACCGCAGCACCCGCTATACTGCGCATGTTACAGCATACTATTACCCCTAAGGTGTTTCGGAACGGTATCATTAGATATTTACATAAACAGTAAGTAATAGTATTTCTTTATAATATAGGAATATACATGTATAGGAATTACATGTATAGGATTATCTTTCACGTTTATTCTACGTTATATAGCCAGTTTAATTCGACTACTTCCGATGACCTATGGAACGCCTTGCAAATAGCCCTCGACGAATCAGAAGTTCCACATAATGACTACAGATTGAAAGAAGTAATGGATACCTGGTTAAAACAAAGGCATTTCCCTGTGGTACGCGTGACCCGAAACTACGACACCGGTGAAACGATACTAACGCAAGAACATTTTCGATCAGAGAGCGAAGACGAGCACATCGATAGCGATAAGTGGTGGATACCTTTGTCTTATGTTACACAAACGAATCCCGATTTCTCCAGTACTCTACCCACTCATTGGCTAAGACCACAAGATAAAAATATCAGCATTGATGGAGTCGATCCAAATGACTGGATCATAGTTAATGTGCAGCAAATGGGTGAATATACTTTACTCATATATTTAGCAATAACTTGATTCAAATTAAAAGTTATTATTTTCCGTATCATAATTTTCGTCAGAAGTATTCAAAATTCAATGATAATTTATTTTATAATTAGAAATCTGTTATGACAATTTTATATACTTGTATATACGACTTGAACAAAAGAAAAAAAATATTCAAACACATTTTTTGATAAATCTAGAAGAGATTTAATAATGTGATTTGTAATATTAATTAATTTTTTAACAGGATACTATCGAGTTAATTACGATGATACGAATTGGCGAAAAATTGCGACATATCTCAATTCTGACAATTACACAAAAATACATGTGCTTAATCGAGCTCAAATCATTGATGATGCTTATCATCTTACGATAGCAAATCAACTTGATATAGAGATATACCTGGATCTTGTAAATTATTTGTCGCGGGAAACAGATTTTGTAGTATTATATTCTATGTTTAATATATTAGAATTTACGGAAGATTTGTACAGAATTCCAGAAAATTATTATCTTAAGGTAAGCAGTACCTATGTGCGTGTATTATTACTAACAATAAATATTTTTGTATATGATATTTAATAATGAAAAATACATATATTTAACATTTAATTACTATACGTCTAGGAATACGTACTGCGTATTTTGAATGAGCTTATTAAAGACGTAGGATACGATGAAGATCCTGCAGACGATGATATTACAAAGCTTAAGAGATACAACATTTTAAAATGGGCGTGTGCTTTCGGTCACTCTGAATGCAAGAGAATAGCTGCTGTTAAATTAAATGAATTTCTTGCAAATCCTGAAATGCACAGGTAATCTTATTGTAATCGTATAAATTTCTAACACATGGCGCAGAATAATGTTATAGCGTTTTCAGACGGAACGGATTTTATCGCTCTGAGAGCGATTAATAACGTCATTAACATTACATGCTCTCCTCGTCAGAAATCTAAAATAGAGCATGTGACGTCATTAATCGCTCTCGTAGCAATCAAACCCGTTTGAAAACGCTATTAAATTATTTGGTACACAGTGCTACAGACAAATTTTTTCTTATTACGTATGTAGAGTGTCTGCAGACTTCAAAGAATGGATGTTTTGTAATGGTATAATGGAAGCCAATGCGTCTACTTGGAATGAATTAAAGGATATGTATTACGTCGATAACGACGAAGATACATTGGAGTACTTGGGTTGCTCTGAAAATTCTAATATCCTGATCGATTTTGTTAATACAAGTGTCTCGGATGATTTAATAATGGAACATCAAAACGAAATTATTTCAAATATTATTCAAAAACATTCAGACAACGATGAAGTACTTGATTATATGTTGGAAAATTTACAAGAAATAACTCCTAAGTAATAATATCTTAAAAGATTAATAATGATAGATATGTATTGATTGTGTTTTCTATTTATCAATTATAAATCTTTTAATTTCTTTTACAGAAAGAAGGTTAAAGAACAAACATTAGTAGGTATTGTTCATAGCGTGCACTCTCATAAACGACTTGACAAGGTAAATTTTATTACCTTAGACATCATATTTTTACTAATAATTAAATTTATATATTGAAAGGAATATTTTTATATTGCATTATCATTTATTACGTTATTTTGTAAACTTTTTCTGAGGACAATATGCGTTGAATACCAATTATACCTGATTTTGCTTAAAAAATGATTTATTAAAGAATATTTTTTATATTAGATTTTTATAATATGTTACTAAATTGAAGGGCTTGCTACAACAGTGGACTAACTACGTTTTCTCCGTTTTTACAAAATTTGGGTTAGACCACTGTTATAGCAAGCCCTTCAATTTACAATAATAACATTGGATAATAATTTGTAATTGATTTAGATAAGCGGCTTTGTAAAAAACAATATCAAAGGAGTAGCATCCACAAATATTCAAAAAATAATAGAAGAACGAAAATCTAACCTGGCAAATGAATATATCAAACCACCACATATGAAAAAAAATAGAACTGTAGAAGAACCATGAGTCAAAAGGGAGAATAATTATATAACATAGATATCTACCTGTATCTTTAAGATTTATAATTTTGGAGATTACTAGAGAGTTTCTCCTTTTTTAAGTTACAATAAGTTATAAGATATTATTTTATATTAATATCTTTTATTATATAATGTATATTTAATAAGTATATGTATATGTACATGTATATATATATATTATATATATATATATATATATATATATATATATGCATATATATGTATATGAGTAATTTTTATATTATCCTTTTTGTTTAATGTTTAACTACATATATATTGTATTTTATATTGCAGTGTATAATTATATTTTAAATAAAAACTATGTGTAATAAAATATATTGTATTAAATACAATGATATCTATAAGATTGAATTTTTACATTATTACTTTTTCAGTATATGTATAAATATATATTCGTAAAAAAATTGAGTCATACCAATATTACTGTAGTACAGTTAACATTTTGTCAATATTTAGAATTATTTATAAATATTCTTAACATTCTTACGCCACTTATATTTTTTTAAATGTAATCTTCTAGAAAGTTCTTAGATATATATTCAACAATATTAACTACTATTACTGTTAATAATACAAATATCGAAATGCATATATAAGCCGTGCCATTATACTTGTAAATTATACTTGGTAAAATCACTTGCCTTGTTTTATTTCCTCGAAAAGATTATTCTTTATTAACGTCAAACGCTTCCGGAAATTATAGCAAAGAGCTCTATAAATGGGAAGTAATAGCTAGTGTCTCGACTAGTAGAATCGCTACTATCGTCATAGGATTCTGTAACATCTAACGTAAGTACGAAAAAAAAAGATAATTTAACAATAAATATCCAATAATGCAATTAGATCATTTTTACATAAAAATAATAAATGCTGCCTTAAATCTACATAAAATGTTTTGTTATTTTACATATAAAAATTCTCTAATTGTCTTTTTTTAAAAATTAAGTTTTAAATTATTTGACCAATTTCAATTGAATGTGATCTTTAATCATGACACTGTTACTTTTGTTACAATTTCTATATTTTGTATTTTGATTTAGAAAATAGCCTTTTATAACTAAGCAAATAATGATTCAATGTATCTCTAAAACACAACAGTCATTCAAGCATACCTATAATGTCCACAAACTAAAAATCGCATATTAATTAACTCGTCTGACTTGCTAACTTATTATGCTAATTAATCAGACTTTTAACTAATATTGTTTTCATTCTCTGTAAGGTTACTATTCTTTTATGGAAATTATGTAAAACTAAATTCAACCTTGAACGTGATACCCACCGCTATTGCTTAATTCGCCTAACCCGCTTAATTAACACTACGGTCACGTCAGCTGTTTTGACGCAGAGACACATTCCACATTACTATTGTTATACTTTGCGGTATTACATTGACGCTTCTGTGATAGCGCGAACTACGTTTCTGTGAATACGAGGTCCGCACGTGCGTAAGTTCTGTTGCAATATTAAGCAATTAAAATAGGCTATTATCTATCATTATCATATTTCAACACAATAATATTTTTTAAAATAATATTTTTTTATATAACGACAAATTAAAAAAATTCAATTTTATCAAATTATATATACTAAGCTGAGAATGTGATAAATGATATCCAGTAAGCAATTAGCATTTTTTTTTTCAAGTGATATACATTCATAATGACGATGTATAAGAGAGTTACTTTTCTTTATTCTACTTTTTTATAAATTTTTAATAGAAAGAAATTTTACGGCAATGACAAGCTTAAACTAATTATTTTATTTTTTCAGAATGTTGACGTGCAAAATCATCTGCATCTGCGCCTTTGCACTCATCGCAATAGACGTCGCTGCCATTCAAGATTCAAATCCGAACGATAAGGAGATAAATTATCGATTACCCAATCACACAAAACCGCTATTCTATGATCTCAAATTGAACCCACATCTCACGCCGAACAACTTCACGTTCGATGGCGAAGTATTCGTCCACATCGAGATTCTAAGCCAGTCGAGGACTCTCACACTACACACGAAGAAGCTAATAATTGACAAAAATGCAACTTTTTTGAAAAGCAACACTGGATTGGACTTTTACATTCCTACCACGTACGACAGTAACAATCTGACCGAATTATTGACCCTCGGCTTCGACAAGGAACTACCCATTGGACATTATATTTTATATCTGAAATTTGGTGGTATACTGAACGACAGGTCATACGGATTTTACCGAAGTTCTTATATCAATGACGCAGGAGATACAGTGTAGGTGTAAAATCATTTATTATCTATTTCTGCATTTACGCATAGAATATAATAAATATTAAGAGCAACATGAACAGATGAACGTCAATAAGAACGGCGGACAAAATTCGTTATCTTTAATAAGACAATATCTGAAATTTCAACAGATGGTTCGCCGGGACGTATTTCATGGCAACTCACGCGCGTGCTGCTTTTCCCTGCTGGGATGAGCCGGCGTTGAAGGCCTCCTTTAAGATCGCCGTCAAACACCATCGCAATTACACGGCCATTTCGAACATGCCGATTTCCGAGGTGTCGGAAATCGACGAGAGCGACGGAAAGACGTGGACACATTTTGAAGAATCGCCCGTCATATCGACCTACCTAGTCAGCTTCCTAATCTTCGATCTTCGTAATATAAGCAATTCCGATGGAACCATCAACGTCTGGAGCAGAGGCAACGTAATTTCCTCGACGAGTTTCGCCCACGAAGTCGCCCAGAAGGCGGCGATCGAATTGAAACGATACACCAACAGTTCCGTTCGGCTGGCCAAAATCGATCATGTCGCGCTTCCTGACAGATACGTTATTGGATACAATAAGGGCATGGAAAGTTGGGGGCTTATCACTTACAGGTAATGTCATGGTACGTGCGTGGAAAAGCAATAACACGTGCACCGAAGAATAAAGTATTGCTGTATACATGGGCGATGTGATATCTCGATCGTGAACGAATTGGAAAATCTATTTATATATTAAATCACCTTACATTAATTTCGTACAGTTAAAAATTCTTAACTTAATATTTATAAAGAAATATTTTATGCTGTAAACATGTATTACTTTGCAATATCGCAAATTATATTCTGCGATAACATTCTTTGTTCTCGCTTTGATAATGTTATGCATTTTTACCTCACATTTATAGAAAATGACGTGTTTTAATGCAACAGATAATATATATATATATTAGAATAATTATTTTAAAATAGTTATAAAAATGTTTACATGCATTTCGTACAAATGTAACAATTACTATCTATAGGGAAGCAACTATACTGTACAATGAAGATAACAATTCAATCGATGCATTGCATAGAATTGCAAACGATATCATTCATCAATCGAGCCATCAATGGTTCGGTAATGTTGTTAGTCCTTCCTGGTGGACTCATATATGGATGAATGGAGGACTTGCTGAATATTTTAAATATTACACTGCTGATAAGGTAGAAATTTGATAACAAAACTCACAAATGCATTTTATTTTATATCGTAATTAAACATTGTTTTAACATTGTAATTTAACATTGTTTTATTATACGTAGCAGTTTTTGTAAAATACATTTATGATTTTCTTCTGTTATGTTAAGACAGAAAAGGCAAAATTAGAACACATATACTGTAATTTTTTAATATAATATACTTAAATGAATACATAGAATTAAATAGATTTTTTTTATATTTAGATATATAAAAATTGGCGAATTACGGATTTTTTAGTTACGAAAACGCTAAATTCAATACTTTTTATGGATAGTTTTGAACACGTACAACCTCTTAATTTGGAACCTAATACTATTCAAGAAATTAATTTCAAATCTTCTCCACTGGATGATCAAAAAGGTAACATATTTTTTCAATTAACAAAAAAAGCTTGCTTAAAATTAATTTAAAGTCATCTTGTAAAAAGTTACAAATCCTTCCTCCTAAAAAATATGATTATTATTTCAGCTTCTCTACTCTTACGAATGCTTTCACATTGCCTCTCCGAGACTGTATTTCACACAGGACTTCTCAAATATCTCGATAAGCAGTTAGTAAAATATTACAATTTTATATAAAAATACATTTACAGATCACATTTATGGAACAAAAATACATCTTCAATCAGATTATTAAGCTACCATTATTTTAGTAATATTAAAGCCATTAAAATGATATGTAGCTAATTGTTTTACATATTATAACAGAAATTTATAATGTCGTGTATAAAAATTGTAATAACAAAAATTTATATTATTTTATTACGTATAATTATAATATAATACAAATATATTACACAACATATGCATAGTGCAAAATATGTTGTACATTAAAATGCTATGTATGTATTATGGCTTCTTAGATAGTAAAATCTCATAAAATTATCATAAAAATTTTAATAGATGATCTAAACTCAATATTTATGTACAAAATAAATTATTAGCAAGTACGGCGTAGCCAAGCCTGAAGATTTATGGAACGCTTTGCAAGATGCATTTGATGAATTAGCGATACCTCAGAACAAATTTAAAATCCGAGAAGTAATGGACACCTGGATAGAACAGAAAGGATATCCTCTTATTACAGTAATTAGAGATCAACATACTGGAAAGACAAAGATTACACAGGAATATTTTCAACCGTACGAAAAAATGAGCATACGTAAGAAAACCAATAGCGCAGACACTACGAACAGAAAATGGTGGGTACCAATAAATTTTGCAACTCGCACCAATATGGATTTTTCATCAACCTTAGCCACGCATTGGTTGTCACCAGAAGCCGAAGAGCTCGTAATCGATGGTATCGACCCACAAGATTGGATCATCGTCAACATTCAACAAACTGGTAAGACTCTTATATAAGTACGTTTCTATAAATCTATTGAACATTACTAATTTTTTACATACGTTAATTACATTGCAGAAAAAATTAATTAGAGACATTAATTAAAATACTCAATATTATACATAAATTATATAATATTATGAAATACTGAGTGTTTGAATTAATGTCTCTAATTAATAATTTTTTTCATATATATATGTATATATAAATTGAACTATATTAAAATGATATTGCAGGTTTTTATCGCGTGAATTACGACACAATGAACTGGTTAAAAATTGCTGACTATCTTGATTCTGAGAATTATACAAAAATACACGTACTGAATCGCGCAAGAATAATTAACGATGCGATTCACCTTATGTTCACGGATAAATTAGATCCCAAAATTTTCATGGACGTCACGAAATATTTGCGACGTGAAACGAATTACATAGTGTGGCATTCATTGTTTAAAATTTTGGGAGATGCAACCAAATATTTTGCTTACAATGGAGGAGGTGAATTGCTTAAAGTAAGTTGTGATTTTATATGTTATAAAATTTTTGTGCAAAAATCATAAAAGAAATGTTTCAGACGACATAGAAAATTGAGAATAAAACCAATTTTTAATTGTTTTAAAACCTATTATTTATTGTATGTAAAAAAAACAACTATTTTATGAAAATATTATTTTAAGCGCACATCCTTATTTTTTTGTAGTAATTGTGACTTCTAAAATATTCTACAATTATAATTACATTTACAGTACAAATATATTTAAAAAATATTCTATAAAACTGATCAAATTTATATAATTACAGCCGTACATTCTGGACTTGATGAATCATATAGTAGAAACGGTAGGCACGCAGGATCACCCGAATGAAGATTATTTTACAAAATTAACAAGAAGTGCAATTCTTGAGGACGCATGCGCCTTCGATCATCCTATATGCTTACGTAAGGCCTACGCTCAATTAATTGATTATTTAAAAGATTCAGCAATACTCGCAAATAGGTAAATATAGCATACAGAAATAATAATGCATATATGTATATTAAAGTAATTTGCTTTGTAAAAATTATTTTCATCTTATTAAATATTTGTTTGTTAAAAGTAATATTGAGTAATATTAAAAGTACTCTTTTTTTAATATACGACGATCATTTCTAAAAATTTTGCTTTAGAACTTCATTTCACAAGAAACGATGGACATTCTGTAATGGCATAAAACAAGCGAATGAAACTATTTGGAACAAACTGCTATTTATGTACACAAACATGTCTGAACCAACATTGTACTGCCTTGGACACTCTAAGAATCAGACTATTATCGAGAGACTTCTAAATATGACCATATCGGAAGATACACCATTCGCGAAGAATGATATTCATCGCGTAATCTATTCTGTATTAAGCGGAGATTTTCCAAACGTCGATATAGTTATAGATTTTACTATAAAACATTGGGATAAACTCACAACTATGTAATAATCTCATACCTAAAATTCGAAAATTGCACATTCCTTCGATCACAGAATTGTGTGGTTAATGCAATTTGAATTTTTTTTATTACAGCGATGACGACCCAACGTATTTGTTACATGATATTAGTTGGAATGTTGTATCCAGGAAGCAAATTCAAAAGGTACAGAAAAAGTGAAAAGTCACTCCAGAAAATTTAGGGAGCATGTATATAGAAATTTATACTTAAAAAATAATATAATACATTTTTTTGCGGCTTATATAAAATCACATATAAAATAATGCTTTATAAGCTAAAATAATAAAACTCTTCTTTTCAGATGAAAGTACTTCTGGATAAACTTGGAATGGAAGTACCACAAATTATGAAACTTCAAGAGCAAAATTTAGAGTTAATAGAGAGGACAGTAAATAAAATTCGTACATGGTTAGAACATAAGAGCTCAAACTCGTTTACAAATATGACATCATAAATTCGTCAATAACTTCATCAATGACGAATCAATAAAAATTATAAGCAAAATAATTAGATAAATTTAAATACATATAAATTATTAAAATAAGATGGATAATAATTGAAAACACTTGTTATTAATTATACATATAAGATATAATATTCAAAATATTATGTGTATTATTGATCTAAAGGTATTATGAACAGTATATACGTATAAGTCGGCGTACACAAAAGATTATATAATTACATGAGAATGGCATATATTTATATCTCATTTATAAAATAGGCAAAGACAAATCTTGCAGAAATGTATTTTACTTCAATCAGTATTTCACTTATTTAATTTCTGAATGCACATAATTAGATATTATCTGTTTAGAGTATCAAGAAATAAAGTTAATATATATTTATATCTAATTATGATAATAAAAAGCCGCATTTATTTTTTAGAATTTTACCTTATTTTTATCTATTTTCGCATTTATATATTTTTCTAATAAACACTTGATCACGTTTTACAAGACAAGAAAACGTAAAGTCACTACTAACTAATCAAGTTTATATTTTTCTTTCACTCGTTTATACTCGCTCATCGTTATCGGAAGAGATATCACTTTATCAAAATATAAAGAAATGGTAAGAAGTATTATATCGTGTTGAATGTAATTCTACACTTACACTTATAATAGAGGGCAGAGATTATCACAGTAAGTATATTCTTGTTACCCGCAGAACGCAAAACATGTTATATATATAATTATATATAGATAATAGATAAAAGAACAATAAATATAAGAAGCAATTGGGATTTCCAGTGAAATCAATTTTTTAATTAAAGTATACAAAAGTATATAAAAATGTTACATCGATTTGTAAATACAATTCAATGACGTTCGTAGAAGTTTGCCGAAATATTAACGTCCTCCTTTAAATGACGTTACTATGTGGAAATATATTAATTAATAATTCAACATATTTTTATTTATTTGAAAATGTAAATTAATTGAAAAATCTCATATTAACTTTTTGTGTAAGATTAAATTATTACAATCTTCTTTTATTTTTTGAAATTATATTCTATTCGCACTATTAATAATTATTTAATAATTATTTTGAATAATTAATATTAATCGCAATCATGTCTTTTCAAGAAAGTCTCTTCTTTCATGCTTGGAATCTTTCTGTTACTATCTTAAAAATGTCATTTTAAAAAAAGCGTATTAAAATCAGCAGGAAATTGATGACCTATGAAACTATAAGCAACACTCAGGCGATAATATTTCTTTAAAGATGTTTTCTCATATCTAAGCGTATGCAAACAAAATTTTGTAACGATTTAAACATTATGTGCAAGAAGATCGTTTTATCAGTCTTACAGAAGTAAGCGTGCATAATTTGTTACGTAATTACGTTATGGCAATCGTTGTGAGTCTGTTGCTAGTACTAATTCTATTACTTGTCACTAGCCAAGGCGTTCCTCAAAATAATGAAGCGACGAGATATAAAGCTGTGGAAAATTTCGACGAAAATCAATTTCGTCTACCAAAGCACGTCGTGCCCATTCGTTACGACGTAAAACTAATACCTCATATTGTCGAAAATAATTTCACCACTAATGGCGAAACGAGCATCGATGTCGAAGTACGCGAACCGACGAGCGCCATCGCATTGCACGCCTTACGACTCACAATAGAGGAATCGTTGACGAAGATAATTCGCAAAGACGTAAACGACGTGAATTTTAAATCAGAGCACGTTCTAGAGCAACATGAATATAATGAGGTAACGCAAATTTTGACTCTACGATTCGAGGGGTCGCTGGACCCTGGCATCTACACGCTGCATTTTAATTTCACGGGCGTGATACTTCCTAACGCTTGGACGCGCGGATTTTATAGAAGTTTTTATACCGACAACGAAGGGAACAAGGTGTAAGTAATTATTCTAAAAATTGATTTTAAATTTTAAATTATCAATAATATGCTAATGCCATAGCTAGACAAAATAGATACGAAACAAAGAACATTCTCAAAAAAGTATAAGATATTTATTAATTGCTATTACGTGACAAAGATAATCTTTTTTTAATTTAGTAATTTTTACGTTTTAAAATTTACGTATACATATGTATAAGGAAACATTAAGCAAAAAAACTGAAAGAATAATAAACGATTGTGATCACTGTTTTTTTTTTACATTTTATTATTTTGTCTACCTAATTAATAAATCTAATTATAGAATCTAACACATGCTAATTGTTTACCTATTGCTTTCTCGCGATAATTACTTGTATCAACACAAACAGATCTCGTTTTCATAAATTAAAGCAAACTCTAATGAATTTCCAGATGGCTGGCAGTAACACATTTTCAACCACCCTTCGCGCGACAGGCGTTCCCGTGTTGGGACGAACCTGCCATGAAAGCGACCTTTAAATTTTCCATAAAGCACTACCCTAATTATACAGCGTTGTCGAATATGCCATCTACGCGATCGGAAGTCGATGCAACCGACGGAAAATTATGGACGCACTTCGAGACAACTCCTATTATGTCCACCAACTTACTAGGATTTGTGATCGCTGATTACGATTACGTCTCAAATTTGGACGGTACTATCAAAATATGGGGTCCAAAACATCTTCTTTCTCATGCCGCATATTCTCTCGACATTGCTGAAAAAGCAACGCAGGAGCTCGAAAAATTCACCAACAGCACCGTTCGTGTACCGAAAATGGATCATGTTGGTGTCCCACATTATGACAGTAGAGCCACTGAAAACTGGGGTATGATCGTTTATGCGTAAGTAAAAACGAATCTTATATCAAGGAAAATTCTTAAGTCTAAAAAAATTATACAAACAAACATTTACATAATTAAAGCGAGAAAATATTTCTTAATTGAGTATTACACGTAATGAGCTAGATATCGCAAAATATTTTTTGACAATTATTTAACGGTACAATAATCTGACACTATTATGTAGCCTAACAGATACGTCATATATTTCCTTTCTTAATGTATCATCTATTTGTATGTAAAAATTTTAAGACAAAACATACTTCTTGAAGACAAGAGCGCACATCCGATTAATAAAATGTTGGATACTATGACAATCACTCACGAATTAGCGCATCAATGGTTCGGAAATTTAATCAGTCCAATTTGGTGGAAGTATCTTTGGTTGAGTGAAGGCATATCGACTTATTTGAAATTCTACATTACTGACAAGGTACCTATTGACAGATTGTGTATTCAAAATATGTCACATTGTACACTTATCTTTTTTATGAGTTTCGGCTTTCTCAGTTTTTCAAAGAAAAACGGTTGATGGATTTTATGGTAGTGAATATTGAACAACAAGTGCTGTACAAAGATTCCATTCGGTCTAAGCCGATTCATGTAAATATCTCTGGTCACCGAAATGTTTATACGGCATACTCTATTGAAACGTATAGAAAATGTAAGAAATTTTTATATAATCGTGTAACACGTGTAACTATTGTATTATAGGTATGATTACTTAATAGTAACAGTTAAAATTGCTATGACAATATTTTTACAAACACAGAAAAGCTTATTGTATAACTTAGAACTTACATTTCAACGCGTAATAGAAATTTAATTTCTATTAATATTTAGTCAATTCAGTTTTTACATGTTCATACGTGTATCTAATATTGTATATAATTTGTATTTATTTCAGTAAACTATTCAAAATAAAATTATAACGATAAATTCTAGACTAAAAAGGAAGTTAAAAAAAGTAACATTATTTTACTCAATATTATAAAATCTGCTTTTTTTAAAAATTATTAAATATTCTGCTTCTCTTTTAGCTGCTCTTCTTTTGCGAATGGCATCGTATTTCTTGAGGGAGGATGTGTTTCGAAACGGTTTGATAAAATATCTTCAAGCACAGTTAGTATACAACAAATTAATAGTCATTATTTTATTATAATCTTTATTATAATCTGACAAAAGATATTTATGATATTATCAATTAGAGAGAAGTAAAAAATAACAATAATTTCGTAATACACGCACATCATAAGTGTTATTGATTTGTAGTGAATACAACAGTACTACACAAGACGATTTATGGAAAGCATTACAAGACGCTCTCGATGAATCGGATGTACCGCATGACGATTTTAAAGTAAAAGAAGTAATGGACACTTGGTTCGAGCAGGCATGGTATCCTCTCGTTACGATCAATCGTGATTACGATACAGGCCGAATTAAGATAACGCAAGAAATATTTAAATACTCGCCAACCAATCATAATGTTAATGGAAACGAGGCATGGTGGATCCCTTTAAATTTTGCGACGCAAAATAACTTGGATTTCTCGTCCACGTTAGCCACCCATTGGCTGAAACCGCACGACGAAGATGTAACAATCGAAGGAGTGAACACTAACGACTGGATTATTGCAAATAAGCATCTGACAGGTAAATATATTTTGATGTGTACATTTGTTTACTTCTTTATTACATTGAATTGTTTAACTGATTAATTATTTACATATATTTTTATTTCTAACCCACGAAAAGGATTTTATCGTGTAAATTACGATACAACCAATTGGAAAAGAATCGCTGCTTTTCTTAATTCTGACAACTACGATAAAGTCCCAGTTTTGAATCGTGCACAAATCCTCGACGACGCTTACTATATGATGCAGACTGAACGACTTGACCCTGTTACTTTCGTTGAAATTATAAATTATTTGTCGCGCGAAACTGATCCTGCACCGTGGTACAGAGCATTCCGCAACCTTGAGGTGTACTTAAAGGACTACTTGCGGTTACCCGAAGGAGCGGCGATCCTTAAGGTAAAATATATCACAGTCTATTATTAAGAGAAATTAATAAACTTAAATTTAAAAAGTAAGATAAAAATTTTTGATTCTATAAAATGAATTGTTATAAATTAAATCTACCATTAAAAAAATTAAATAGCTATTAAAAAATAAATAAAATAAGATATTTCAAAACATATTTTCTAAGTTTGCTGAATCTTATAAAATATTCTTCTTTTAAGCCATATTTATCCAACTTGATGCATAAACTATTTGAGCACATTAATTTTGAAGAGAATCCCAATGATGATCCTTTCACTGTACATGTCAGAGCTTATCTGTACAAATACGATTGTATGTATGGACTTTCGGAATGTCAAGCAAAAGTTACTGCTAAATTGCTTGCATATATGGAGGACCCAATCGCAAACAAGTAAGTTCTATTAAAAGATACATAGATCTGTGAAAAAATTTAAGTTTTTTTTAAACCTTATCAAATATAATGCCAATTTCTATGCAGTCCCAATTTTGACATATAAATTTATTTAACTATGATTGCTCAATTTTGAGTTATTATGCTTGTAAATATTTAATTTATTGAATTTTTTATTTATAAATTTTTGTTAAATTTTGAATGGTATATTAATTCTCGATTAAATATGTATTTTAAATCTATAGATTTAACGTGAATTTTGCATATGCTGTTTATAAATTAACACTGTATAGTTATCAATTTTGATCAAAATATGACTACTTTACTAAGCGAAATGATAGTATAAATTATTGTAATCTATTAAACAAGTTAAAAGAATTTAATTAAATATTAATAATCTTTGTTACAATTGCATTACATTTTATCAAAAAAAATGAAATAAAAATACTTCTTAACATATAAATTTTTAATAGAATTATTTTTAGTTATTTTTATTTTAATTTTTACATTAGACTATCACCCAATCAAGAATTGATATATTGCTTTGGTCTAATAAAGGCAAATGAGTCTTTTTGGAATCAATTCTTGCAAGCACAACAGAGAAAATTAAAATCTGAGACGTGGTTTCTTGGTTGTTCGGAGAATTTGCAAATTATAGAAAGACATTTAAATTCTTTCTCCGAAGATATGGAGAATTATTACAATATCTTCTATAACATGCTCGAACGTTTACCAAATATAGATGTAGCAATTGAATATTTTATTAATAATTATGAGAAATTTGACCAAAAGTAAGTAACATTGTGTTATATTGTAATTAAAATTATATAAATTGTATATTCTGGCTAATGGAATTATATAACTGCATAATATAATGAAACAAATCACACATGTAAGTATATAAATAATTTTTGCTTATGACAATTTATACCGACAATTTATCTTCTAAGATACAAATATATTAATGTTATTATATTTAATAATATTTAATAATTAAAACAATTTTGTATTTTACAGTCTTAATCATGCATTTATTCTTCATGTAATAAAACAGAGCATCATCATGAATAGTTTCAGAGAAGATCAAATTAACAAGGTAAATAATATTATTTAATGTTATGTTTCTTTATGATTATCTGGAATTAAAAAATAATTTGTTACAGATAAAAGCATTCGCTGAACAACATAAAATCCATATGCCACCACATTTAAATGATAGAATAGCAATGTTATCTAAAATGAAAGATGATTTGTCGAAAGTTCGTAGCGCGTTGGAAAACAGACAATCTATCGATACGTTAAACAATCATAATCAAATATAATATACATTTAATAAATATATAATACATATTGTAAATATATTATTAAAAAAAATTAAAATTATTCTAATATAATGATACCTTGTATGTTGTATATTAATATCATTGAAATATACTTTACATTTATAATTTGTCTGACATTATTTTTACTATTTAATTATAAAATTTAAAATACTTTATAGAATTTTTAAAGTATAAATATTCTTATTTTTATGTTATTTTGAATGATGCAGTAAAGTTATAAAAATACATTAAATAATTCAATGAATCAATTACATAACTAGCATTATTAATTTAATTACATTATCAGCATTAAGTTCTTATAATTGTTATTTATATTCATAATTCCAAAAATGTTATAACATATCTGCTCGCAAATTCAACAATAGATAGATTCCGATAATATTTCACGCAATCTCTTTGAGTAGATAAGATAAAATACCATGATTTGTGAAGTATAAAATCTGTAACATGAAACGTTTTCTAAATAGGTATAGCGATTGACTTTTATATATTAATAGTTACGAAAACTTTGATAAAAGGTTAGTAAAATCATATTGTATTATAATTAAGATTACACAAATTGTACATTCTAAAAAATAGAATTATAATACAATAAAATATATTCCTATTGTAATTTCAATAATTTGTAAAAAAGATATCTTTTGTTATATAAATATATTTTTTATTGTAGATATTTATTGCGTATAAATTATTAGTTTCATTCAAGAAAGAAGTTACGTTCTATATATTTGACTTCACAAAAAATATAACTTACGTAGCTCTTCCAGATTTCAGTTATTTAAGATATCAGATTTGCAACAAGATTTAATTCATTATCGCGATAATTATTAATTAATGTTTTCCATGTAAAATCAAATAAACATTAATATTAAGTTTAATACTTTTTTCTGCGGCGTAATCATTTCCGAAAGATCTAAAAGGAAACATAATTCGATTGATATCCAAGAACGTAAGATAATTGATGTCCAAGGTCGTTCCGATCAAAGGTCATAAAACGCACATCTATAATCCTCAATTTTTTAAATACTAAAATAATGTTTAAACATAAGTTTTGCAAGAAATTATTAATATATAATAAATTTAAAATAAATTCTATAAAAACTATGGATAAAGTAATTTCTTTGTTCTATAATATATGAATCATCGCTAATAATATCGCAACTTATTTAATAATTATTACAAAACATTGTTTGGCCTTCGAAATTAGAGGCATAGATATTCTAAAGATAAAATAACGGTTTAAATACACTTCAAAAAAATCACATTCTAGCATTATAGAAATATGCTATATTTTACTATCAAATATTGCGCATTGTGGTGACACTCTTTTCGTTACAAGTGTATTCTATTCAATAAAAAGATCTATTATTTGTCAGACTTTCATTATCTCGAAGATAACAATTAGTAAGTACAGAATTTAATTTTAATATTAGAATATGACGTAATTTGATTCGTGATGTTTGCTCAAACGTGATTGTTAAAAATGTTACTATTTTTAACAAGGTAGTTGCTAAATTCTAATACACACATAATTTCGTTAATACATTCAAATTATTTACCCAAATGATTCATTATAATCTTCTAATTACATTAAAATATTGCTTTTTTTTATAAAGTGTTATATAGTGTTTTTTAAATGGTTTTAAAGATGTTAGGCGTAATTTTATAAAGTTATATCATTTACGCGGAAACTTTATCATTAATCTAGATTATCAGTATAGATAAATTTGTGAATAACTTGCCGCAAACAATAATGATACAATTAATAAATCTTTCAAGTTCTAATCTATAACTTCTTGTTACTCGTACATATTTTTTCAGATCTTTAATTATTGATTTGTTCTATAGCGCGTGACGTTTTGTGCAAGCAAAGATACACGTGATAACATGATTTTATAGAAAAAAATTATGGCATCGTCATTGGCTATCCTGTGATAAGATATCGATGATATTAATCTCGCGGTAGAGAAAAGCAAAACGCATTTAACAACCTTTCATTCGAGGGAGAACAGTTCGCGCGAATTGTTCACTTAGAAACTGTGCTGTGAAAATCGGATACATCAACTGTTCGCGCGATATACGTGTGATCAACGTTTTCTACATCAAAATTAGTTTGTTTAAATGTGATTTGAAATATTAGGAAAAGTGATATATTTATTCTGAGACGCCGTATTACTACGGATACAATAAACTTTGGCTCATCTGTACGGAATTACGAACATAGTGAAATAAAATATAAAGTCATGAAAAAACGGCAATACTAATAATAAGAGTGATAAAACTTTTAGTGAAGGTAAATACAATTGTCTTTCAAATAATTGAAATTCTCTCTGTGTCTCTCTCTTCATTAATTT